TTTTCTTTGTTTTTACACTTATTGTATAATTACATCAATTCCAAAACAGAGCACACTATTACATTCGTGTCTACCGAATTGGAACTGACGTATCTTATATTCTACAATAAATCATCGTAAATTTCATTTGTGTCATCCAAAATAAAAAAAAAAATGCTATATTGGACAGCAAATTGAATTTTTGTATTATTGCGTCTTCTATAGAATATTTCCAGAAGAGGTCCAGATTTTTTTTTTTTGACTCTTCACCAAAATACATTCTGGAGATGTACAGAAGAGACCAATAAAACAAGCCCCTCGATGCTTCATATATACCCTTGTGCAGATACCTTATGTTACGAAGATTCCGTCTGTTTAACTTATATGTCCATTGTCCTTGATCTCATTTTCAAGGTTTAGTGACTGCTTGAAAAAAAATTACAATAAAAATACTCAAATTATTATGAGTCATAGGATAATTTTATTTGGTATGTGTGTTCCTTGCAACGTCTACATTTCCGTCAGGTAATGTTCAACTGACCTCGACCTCATTCCGTAGATCAGTGTTTAAGGTTAAAGTTATGTGGTCAAGTCTGTATCTCAGATACTATAAGCAATATGTCAATTATATTTGGTGCATGCAATGTCAGACTGGCAGGTTTCATCTGACCTTGACCTCAATTTCATTGTTCATGGACAATGTTTGTTTTTTTCTGGTTTGGTCTATTTCTCAGATACTATAAGCAATGGGGCCATTCGATTTTGTGTATGGAACAATTGGAAGGTGTAGATGTCTTTCTGGAAGGTTTCATCTGACCTTGATCTTATTTTCATGGTTCATGGTTCATTGGTCAATGATCGATTTTCGTAATTATGTCAGTTTATCGATACTATAAGCGATAGGACTACTATATTTAGTGTACGGAATGATTGCAATTTGTACATGTCTGTTTGCTATGGTTCATCTGACCGTGACCTTATTTTCTTAGAACATTGATAATGTTAAGTTGATATCATACATGTATTAAAATCTTCATATAACAGAGTTTCAACAGTAATTCAATGATAAATAAAACAGGCGAGACATTTCAGGATTAGCATTCTTGTTTAGCAGATATCTTACAGTCTAGGGATTAAAGTTTTTAAAGCATCAATAATCTGATTCAAACCAACAATGAGTTTCATGAAACTTTTACTGTAACTTCTTCATAGCCATTTTGATAGTGATAGTATCCTGAGCTTTTTTTTTATTTAATTTGTTCATTATGCTTTGTTTTACTGATAAACATGTTATGCTCATTGTTGAAGGCGGTACGATGACCTGTAATTGTTAATTTCTATGTCATTTGGTCTCTGGTGGAGAGTTGTTTCATTGGCAATTATACCACATCTTCTTATTTTTATTTGGAGTTCAACATTATTCTTTTTCACTGACAGCATCAGTCCCAGACAAGACAACGGGTTATGCGTAACCATTACCATTTTTTTCATATTTCTGAGAAATCTAACATCTAAAATTACATTTACTGCCCTCAACCATAGAAGCAATGTAATGCTTGAATGCTCAAAATGTTCACAAGGAAGCACAATTAAATACCGCATTTTTTTTCCGACAAATTTTTAAATTTAAAAAAAACTGATTTTTTTTTTAAAAAGAGGGGGTGCACCATACCCAGAGTGATTAGTTTTCATTTTTTACCCATATATCTTCATAAATCATATATTCTCGTTTATAATTAACAAATGGGTGCCAGAATTGCACACATAACTGGAAGAGTTTGGCTTGTTAAGTTCAATATGTTTGATTGTTCATCTGTATGGCAATCTGGATTTTTGTGAAAATGGACATTTTTTTAATAAAAATATTTTTTTAAAGAAAAAAAAAACAAAAAAACACGACTTTCTTTTTATTTCATGAATATATAATATGTTGTCTTTCAAAATTTGTCGGTGACATGTTATGGTATTGTTGGTCTTGGGAGATAAACAGAAATAAAATTTAGCGATTTTTGAATTGTTTTATTATCGAATTTTAACATATTTTTAAATGGTTGCTATGGAAACAAACTGTTAAGTAAATTCAAGATTTTATTGTTTTTGAATAGTTTGGGATTTTGTTTGTCAACAGTGTGAACATGTTTATTGTTTGTCTTGATTAACTTTATTTCAATGGTACTTTAAAATCCCTTATTTTTCAATTTTCAAAGGCTACTTTTGCACGTATTTAGGCAAAATGTTGTTAGGATGGTTTCCATGGGAACAAAGGTTCAAAAGAAAAAAATAAATAATATTTTATATGAAACCAATCATACCATACCGTCTTCATAAACCAAATATAAAGATATTTGAAGAGTGGTCATGAATCGTCAATCAACAGGAACCTGCATGATTCTTACAAAGACAGGTACTTACAATGTAACTAATGAACATTTTGCATTGATGACAAGATGGATAAAAAAAATTAAAAAAAATACGTGATAAGTTTGGTGTGTCCGCAGCGCTTTTCTGGATATACCTTTTCCAGGAACACTACAAAACTAGAATATGAAAGCCAAAGATGTATAACTACTTGAACACTTGAGGAGCTATACTTGAGCTATACTAGAGCAATACTAGAGCTATACAAGAGCTATACTAGAGCTATACTAGAGCTATACTAGAGCTATACAAGAGCAATACTAGAGCTATACTAGAGCTATACTAGAGCTATACAAGAGCTATACTAGAGCTATACTAGAGCTATACTGTAGAGATATACAAGAGCTATACTAGAGCTATACTAGAGCTATACTAGAACTATACAAGTGCTATACTGAGCTTTACTAGAGCTATACAAGAACTATACTAGAGCTATACTAGAGCTATACTAGGAGTTGGAATCTTAGGTTTTTATTAATTTCTAAATTTATCGATTTGAAGAAAGCTATTTAATGAATCATGTCAGTACCGAGCTATTAATGGAGAAATAGTTGGTACTGTGTTTTTAGATTTCAGTAAGGCTTTTGACCTTATTAACCATGCCATACTTTTAGAAAAGTTAAAATTTTATCATATCGGAGAACATTCGATAGATTGGATAAAATCATATTTGTCTGAGAGACAACAAGAAGTTCAATACGCTAACATTAAATCTGATAAATCGTTTGTAAAATATGGAGTGCCTCAAGGTTCTATTTTAGGTCCTCTGTTATTTTTAATTTATATAAATGATTTACCACTTCATGTTAAACAATCCGACATGGATTTATATGCTGATGATTCAACATTGCATTTTCATAATAAAAACATTGAAAAAATAAACAGCATATTGCAAAATGATTTAAATGCTATACAATCTTGGTGTAGCAATAACAGTATGAAAATTAATGCACAAAAAACAAAGTGTATGAAATTGGGTTCAAAACAAAAACTTACACAACTATCAGAATTATGTATTACCGTCAATGAAACATGTATTGAAAATGTCCATTCTTTCAAATTACTTGGAATTGACATTGATGAAAATTTAAGCTGGGAGGATCATGTTGATCGTATATGCAAGATTATCTCATCTAAAATATCACTTTTGTTTAAAATTAAAGTATATTTGCCTATACACACAAGACAACAATTTTATAATGCATATATTCTACCATATATAGACTATTGTAGTTCAGTTTGGGGAAATTTATTACAAAAAGATTCAGATAGAATCATAAAACTTCAAAAAAGAGTAGCAAGAATTATACTTGAATGCGATATTTCTGTTCCATCTAATTTTATGTTTTCCATCTAATTTTATGTTTTCATCTTTAAAATGGCTATCTTTTACAAAAAGAATAAAATACCAACAATCAATTCTAATGTATAAATTTGTAAATGGACTAACACCTGATTACTTAACAATGCTAAATATTAATGATGTGCAACACCACAACTTACGATCTGTCTCTAATAATGATCTATTTGTTCCAAGACCAAATACAAATTTTTATAAAAAATCTTTTCATTATTCTGCAACAAAGGTATGGAATAATTTACCACTCAAAATAAAAAAATGTCGAAATGTGGAATTATTTAAGAAACATTGTTATAATCATTTTCTTGAAAATTCTATGCAAGTCGAATAATTTGTTTTCTTTCTTTTATTGTAAGAATAAGAAAATTTAATCAAAACTTTACCAATTATTGCCATTTATTGCCATTTGTATGTTTGAATGATTGAATTGTGTATATACTAGTAATATATATTGCATTTTAATGTATGAATCGAATGTATGAATGTTAACTGTATACATGTATTTTGTTTGAGGGCCTCAATGAAAATTAGACTACTTCTAATTGAGTTACCCTCTTTAAATAAAGAATTTATTATTATTATTATTATTATTATTATTATTATATAATAGTATTACCCTCGGAGGCTAGTAGTTCACCAGCAGCGGCATCTACCCGGTACTAGAAAGTGAAAACACGCTATTTAGGCGCGTCTGAAGCGCTTTTATGATTTAATTTTCATCAGGTGTATTTAAGAAAATTAACTGACATATTACGTATACACAGAAGCACTCGTTCGTGACGGTAAGTTTTTGATGACTAGTAGCGTATGATCATATGTAATTATATCAGTTCAAGACAGCTTTCTTTTTTGTGTTAATGGTGTTGTTCAGTTTAAAGTCACAATGAATCTTCAACACGGACTGAAAACAAACAAACGTCACGACAAGTTTTTGTTTACTTCTACTCCTGGACATACTGTATGTGCTGGAAGAGAAACTTCAAATACCAATGCTATGATCTTTTGTATGAGTCATCGGAGATCGAACACCGGACTTGGTCTAGCCTGGATGAGGGTTCCAGATTGACACATTAAACTCGATTTTATTAAACCATAGCAAAAGTCACAAATCACTAAGGTTGAGATTTTCTGCTCAGATTCTTGTATGTACAACATGCTTATTTATTCTAATGTGTGCCTTCAAAACCTTTATGTTCAGAAAAACTCTTAAGCACTCTTATCTTTTTGTAATTTTACTTTTCAGTTTCTTTCATCTAATACCAGGTTTAATGGAAAAAGAAACAATCTCAGGAGAACTTCACAAATACGCCGTTATAATTTAAACGGGAGATTATTTCCAAGAAACATTACCTTATATTAACTGTTTATATGCATGATGTTTACAGTATATAAAAGAGTCAAAGGCAAACAAATGTGTTTAAGTTCAAATGATTGTAACATGCAATTAATAAATGACGAGACAGGAAACACTTGCATGCTTAGCAGCAGATATCTAAACAATGTCCTGGTTTAAACGCTAAAATGCATTGGTACGGTCAAAATAATTGTGAAATTTATTTCAAACATTTTGCATTGGAACAATTTGTGATTGACTGCCTTAGGCCTGACTTGGTAAACAAAGATTGCATATCTAGGTTTAACGGCAAACAGATCCCACCCACCAACTCCTCCATCCAGTCTTGTTCGGATTAAACAACATTGATCAATATGAACGTGACTGCGTATTCATACGTTCTGGTAAAAAATGAGAGTGAAAAAAGAAATTTGGTTGGCGGGCTTTTGTCAACCCTGTCATGCACAGATGATTGAAAACATTTTTTACGGTAAAGTCTCATATCAATAGGTTACGGCGCAGCTTTTGATTACATTTGCGCGCATTTTTTATAGGTAAACTTAGGCAGATACAGGTAGATTATTCTTATTCATTTATTCAACTACTATTTTCGAGCAGTATACAGAAAGTCTGTTTTATTATGCACAAGCACTTATTCCTGGAAATATATACAGATAGAAATGTAAAAATATAGCTGTCTTAAGATAAAAAGTACCGATCATTCATGTAGTAACGTGCTGAATATTTCAGGCCCACTGCTTTATGAAAACACATTAATACATAGATGTGCTGAATAATGTTGGTCATTGCAGTGACCAGAGAATGAATCCGGGCCGTTTGTAGTACACCTGGATTCTGCTGACGGTAGTGATGCCAAAAGACCTGGTGAAATAGGGAATCTGGTGAAATATCTTTTCAAATAGTTACGGTACATCGCCATCAAATATCTATTGACTTAAGTGTTCTTTCGATAGGAAAGTAAATTATCGTACACTAGTTATGTTTTCCTCCGTCTTGTTTCTGACAAACGAAACTCCATGTGTGTGCCTTGACGCAACTTTACAAACTGATTTATTCCGATTTATTTTCGGAAACAATACTATTTACTCTGAAATATTCGCAATCAAGTTATATGTATATTTTCTCATGATCACTTTTTATCTTTTTAGGATTCAATATGAAAAATCATAATAATTATAATCGTCTTGTTTATTACGAATTGTATGTATTTTTACCTGTGTTACCTGTGAAATGAAGCGCGCAATTGTAATCAAAAGCTGCGCGCAAACGCAAAAAAAATTAATCCCCAAACAAGCGCAAATGTAATGCGTCCATAGGTTAAGAATGCTGGGCTTCTATAAAGTATGCGTGTTTATCGGTACGGTATATTATTGTTTCGCATGTCAACCTATTGAATGCTTCCTTTGTATTGTTGTTAATTGACAATTCTATTATGCATATTTTGTTATATTACTCGAGATTAAAAGGGAAATGGTTGAAATCTAAAATAAACTAGATTATCCCTTCCACATTTCCATGTACTTGTTCTTAAATTATTATAATATCTAAATATATTTGTTATTTAGAGGATTTGGCTTTTAACCCAGATCTTTAATACACATAATCTCTATGGAACTCCACAGCTGTCTTATGTGGAACTCTGATATTACGTTATGTTGTTTTATTATTACTTGATGATATTTGGTCTTTACATGATATGGTTTTGACATTACGTAATGATGTTTTGATATAACTCAATATGGAATAGTCATTACTTAATGATATTTCGATATTACACGATATGGTTTCGTATTGACTTGATAAAGTTTTGTCATTACTTAATATGGTATTGTCATTACTCGATATGGTTTCAACATTATTAAATGTGGTTGTGTCATTAGGCAATGTGGTTTTAACATTACTTGATGTGTATGTGACTTAACGTAATGTAGTTGTTTCATTACATGATGTGGTTTTGTTATTTCGTAATGATGATTTGCCAATTCTTTATATGGCATTAACATTACGTAATGATGTTTCAAAATTTGACGATTTTACACTACATGATGTGTTTGTTTCAGTATTTGATGTGGTCCTGTCATTCTTTGATGTGGTTATCACATTACTTGATGAGGTAAAATCACGTGACCAATTCGGAAAAACAAGTTCTATTTTTAAATAGATTTCCATGTTTTATGTGCCTTGGATGAGTGTGGCCATCCATCGAGTTAGAGTTCAAATTAAAGTTCGGGTTACTGTTCGAGTTAAACTTTGAGTTAGTCTTCGATTTCGAGTTAGAATTCAAGCCATTATTAGAATTAAAGTTCTAGTTAGCATTGAGTTTCGAGTTGAACTTCGAGTTTGAGTCACATTTAAAGGTAGAGTTCGAGTTACAATTCGACTTCAACTTTGAATTTGAGTCACCTTTTGAGGTAGAGTTCGAGTTAGACTCGAATTTGAGTCTCATTTAGATTAAGATTTCAAGTTGAAATTCGAGTTATCTAATATGAGTTCGTATTTAAATTTTCTACCGCGGATCAAGGGCTATTGCTCGGGCTTCCGAAAAGAAGGCTCAGGGGTATACGTACAATAGATAAACAATGTAACAGTATACAAAACACACCATAGAAATTGAAATAAAGTTAGATGTGGTGTGATTGCCTATAAGACAACTATCCACCAGAGTTTAAATGCAGTGGATGTAAGCAATCATAGGCAACCGTACAGCCTTCAACACACCGTATAGTCGGCTACAAAAGGCCACCACGTGAAAATGCGAAACAATTCAAACGAGAAAACTAACGGTCTAATTTATAACTAAACAATCTACGAAAAACAAATATGACACACATGAAACAACGACAACCATTGAACTACAGGCTCCTGACTTGGGGCAGGCACATAAAGAAAGTGCACATGGCGGATGCCACACGTTGAGCAGAATCTGCTTACCCTTCCGGAGTACCCGAGATCACCCCCGATGGATTTATATTACCCAGTCATACCGATTTATTGAGTTAAGCCAATTGAAACTGTTTTTTACATTTTTTTCTTATGTTGTGCTGTTACACTACAGTCCGAGTTTAGGTTAGGGTTTAGCGCTCACATACATGTTAAACTCCGTACATCAAGTAATGTTAAAACCACATTGCCTAATGACACAACCACATTAAATAATTGTGAAACCACATCGAGTAATGACAAAACCATATTAAGTAATGACAAAACTATATTAAGTCAATACGAAACCATATCGTGTAATATCGAAATATCATTAAGTAATGACTATTCCATATTGAGATATATCAAAACATCATTACGTAATGCCAAAACCATATTATGTAAAGACAAAATATCATCAAGTCATCAAGTCATAATAAAACAACATAACGTAATATCAGAGTTCCACATAAGACAGCTGTGGCATTCAATAAATCTCTGTTAAATTCATTTCCTGTGAGACGCGGGGAAAACCATATGCTGACCTCTAAATTTCTTCTGATAAGTTGTTTCATTCGGTTAATATCTTATTAATGTAACTAGACATATTCCTTTAGATTTACCCAAAACGTGTATTTCTTAACTTATCAAATTTAGTCGGATTTAAATAATGTTTATAAATCCTGCACAACAAAAATTATATTACGCGTTTTGTAATTAAGGAAATTTGGAGTTGAAGACAGATCATTTGTGTTTTTGCATGCGCTCTTCAGACAAGAGGTGATTTGTGATACCAAGGTTTACAACTACGGCTAAATTCACCACATTAAGATAGTCGGTAAGATAAATTCGTTACACAGTGTGCTAGTGAACTAATACGATATATGCGGGATCAGTAAATTCAATATGTGGCTCGAGCTTCTTATTTAGAAAAGAGAGGCGAAAGATACCAGAGGACCATGAAACTCATAAGTCGAAAATAAAATGACAACGCCATGGCTAAAAAGGAAAATACCAACAGACAAACAATAGTGCACAAAACACAACATAGAAAACTATATAACTGAGCAACACGAACCCCACCAAAAACTGGGGGTGATCTCAGGTGCTCCGGAAGGGTAAGCAAATCCTGCTCCACATGTGGCACCCGTCGTGTTGTTCATGTTAGTACAAACCCGGTAATAAGTCTAATTCGGTAGGTCACATTCGTGAAAAGGGGACGAGATTGTAGTTACGACATTAGGAACATATCCGCTATCATCTGTGAAACGGATATTCCTTAACGGTCAACCAACTCGTGATGGCGTCCGTAAAATATACGAAGGGATAATTTCTCTTCACCATTTGGAACTCTTGGTTTAATAGCTTCCTTGTGAGCAGCAACCCTCTATCAAGGACATTATGAAAGGAAATCGAGCTCGGGAATATCGTATCAATTGGGAGATATATACTCCGTGTGCAGGCGCTGCTGGAATGTTGCTACATAGAAATGGAAAGATCACAATTGGGAAGCTGAAATCACCTCTTTTGTCGTAATGTTTTGTTTTCAACCGACCCTCATTGTCAACTTCTAGATGTAAGTCAAGATATGAGGCAGACTTAACTGTATATGTTGTATCCTTTATCTCAAGTTCGATGGGATAGAGGCGTTCAACATAGTCACCAAATTTTGAATTATTTAGTCAGAGAACATCATCTATATTGCGGAAAGTAAAGTTAAAGGATACTGCTAACTTCTTTTCTTTCTTCCTAAGAAATTCCTGTACGAAGTCGGCCTCATATGAATAAAAGAACAAGTCGGAAAGAAGAGGGGCACAGTTGGTTCCCATGGGAATGCCGATTGTTTGTTGAAAAACACGTCCTCCAAACGTAACAAATATGTTGTCAATCAAGAAATCAAACATCTTGATAATGTCAGTTTCAGAGATTTTCCTGTTTGAATCAGAGTCATTTTTAGCTCACCTGGCCCAAAGGGCCAAGTGAGCTTTTCTCATCACTTGGCGTCCGTCGTCCGTCGTCGTCCGTCGTCCGTCGTCGTCCGTCCTCCGTCGTCGTCCGTCCTCCGTCGTCGTCCGTCGTCGTCGTCCGTAAACTTTTACAAAAATCTTCTCCTCTGAAACTATTAGGCCAAATTTAACCAAACTTGGCCACAATCATCATTAGGGTATCTAGTTTAAAAAATGTGTCCTATGACCCCGCCTGCCAACCAAGATGGCCGCCATGGCTAAAAATAGAACATAGGGGTAAAATGTAGATTTTGGCTTATATCTCTGAAACCAAAGCATGTAGAGCAAATCTGATGGGGATAAAATTGTTCATTAGGTCAAGATCTATCTGCCCTGAAATTTTCAGACCAATCAGGCAACACGCTGTTGGGTTGCTGCCCCTGAATTGGTAATTTTAAGAAAATTTTGCAGCTTTTGGTT